CCGGCCCGCCCCCGCCGGCCCTGTACAACTTCACCACCTCCGCCAGCGTGGTGTTGACGGGCAGCGCCGCGTAGCCGCCGCGCGGCAGCGGGCAGAGTTTCCTGCAGAGCGGGCAGGAGAAGCGCAGGCCCTGGCCCGCGCGGGGCGAGGGGAGCGGGCCGGGCTCCCCGGAGGCCAGGCACTCCAGCACGCAGCCCTTGCAGAAGTTGTGCGAGCAGAGCGGCAGCGTGACCGGATCCTCAAAGAGGCCGAGGCAGACGGCGCAGGTCAGGCTGGCTTCCATCGGGGCCAAGCCGGGGGCGCGGCGCGGCGCGGCGCGGCGCGGCGGGCCGCCCTCCGCAGAGACCCGCTCCCCCGGGGGCTGGAGCTGGAGCCGCCGCCCTGCGGCCAGCTCCCACGGAGCTCGCCCCCGGCCGGCCACAGCAGCCCCCTGAACTTCAACCGCCCGCCTCGCGCTCCAAGCTGGGCGAGATTAGGAAAGAGCGGCTGCGGAACTGCAAGCCGGGGAGCGGCTGTGATTGGAGGAATGTGAGAGATTGACAACGCTAGCTACTACTCGTCGAAACATGCGGCCCGGGAAAACACCAATCGTATCACAATGAGAGGGGCGGGACTAAAGCAGCCCTACCCAATAGGAGGTTTGGGCTGAGATGTAGGCGCTGGGGCAGCTGCCGTTTCCCACGGGGCGGCAGCGCGTGCGGGAGCCGTAGTCTGGAGCAGCTCTAGGTCTTGTGATCTCTGAAGGGCGGGGAACGTACCTGTGTAAAGAGCCTAAGGCAATGGCCCCAATGCAGTATAAACAACTATTTGGCGTAGGGTTCCCTATGACCCTCACACCCTAGGGTCTGTAAGGACCACCACTTCTCACCAGATTTGCCTCCCCCACCCCCAGACCTTCAGTCCTTGATTTCCGTGGTGGCAGAGATTAGTTTGGGGTTGTCCATACCTAGCCCATGGGAACTGGACGGGGACCATCAAAGTCCTACTCCTAAATCTGTCATATGGTAATGACATTGGAGCACTGCTGACCAGGATGGAGTCAAACAAGTGACAGAGAGCAAAAGGCTCCTTTGTCAGTTACCAGTCACCTAAGCCATCCCATTCTCTTATCTTACAGTATTTTAAAATGTGTTTTTTCATGAATACAATAAAAGTTTCTTCCTTTTTTCATGTTTGGACTACAAAATACAAAAGGCCAGATTGTTGATTCTTTTTCCATTGATGAACTTTCGGTCACATAAGTAGCCCCATAGACTTCAACAGGACTATTCGTAGGCAGTGCTTGCATGAGTAAAAGAAGTCACAATCTGACCCAAAGAAAGGAACTTTGTTATATATATATCTACATATTTTACTAATCTTATTCTGATATGAATTAGCTCCATGCTGGTATAAAATAGCTATGAGCTGAAAGTACTTTTTGAACATTCACCACAGTTGCACTGCAATATTAAAATCTTTTGTAACAAAATCCCAAACCTACATAATTTCACATTGCTTCAAGTTTTGTTAATAAGGCAAATTTTGGTCCACAATCACCAGGTATTAACATTTCCGCTAATGATGGTCAAGTTTACTCTCCCAAACTTTTTCTTTAACAGTTCTGGTTAAGGATGTATGAGTTAAATCCAAAACCTTTTGATACTGATCAATTTCAGGTTTGTTTTCCTTTGAGTTTTCAGATTATTGTAAATCAAACACAAAGGTTTTGAAACAAACCGAAAACAAAGTTTGCCCCACCCTAGGTAGACTGAAACTACACATCAGTTTTGCATAGCCCTGAGGTGACATGCCAGAGCAAACCAATCAACCTATACTGTTACATTTTAGAATTATGCTTATAGAAAATCACAGATTAAAAATCTTCAAGTGTTTGTACTAAATTGACATTTTGAGCAGACATTAAAGAGCATAGGATAATTTTACCACATAGTCAGTTTCCCTTGTGTCTGTAAATGTGTACAGATACAGGGACTATTATTTATTATTTGTATTACCAGAGAACCTAGGGCCCTAGTTGTGGACCAGCACCTATTGTGATAGGTGCTTTGCAAAGCAAAAAAAAAAACCAAAAAAAAAACAAACCCAAAAAACAAACAAACAAACAAACAAAAACCCTGCTCCAGCTCCAAAATGCTTAGAATAATTCATACTTAGAACACAGTATGCAGGTTTACAAAATATTTATTTAAAATCAATATGAATTTTTTTCTTTAACTGTCTTCCTTCAAACGCACCTGGTTTTGCTTAAAGCATTACCTCATAGAAGTGCAAATGCTGGCATGATGAAGCCCAGAGAGGTCATATAAAAGAATAAGAAGTGGAAAGCCAAAAGAGCAATTTACTATTTAAGTGTTCAATACATTGGCCCTGATTCAGCAAAGCACTTAAGCCTGTGTGCTTAAGGGATTCCACCTCATGTGCTTAAATGCTTTCCTGAATTGGGGCCAAAGTGATTTAGGCTCAGATTATTCCACCTATATTCTTGTTAAATAGTACCTTACTAGTCAAGAATATTCCTGGGGGAATTCTGTGCCCCCAAATAAAAAATTCTGCACACAATATTTTAAAATTCTGCAAAATTTGCCAATTTTATTTGTCCAAATAACCGTACATAATCACACCAGTTTCAATTATTTTGGTAATTTATTTCAAAATACCTGTCAGCAAGTATGTCTGTAACAATACAGACACACACAAAAATTTCCCTAGGACTAGAGAGTTAAAGAAACCCCTACAACAACCTAGTTTTTGCTTCTCTGCCCCCTCCCTCCCAGAGCTCAGCTGTGGGGGCCCGCCCTTTCCCAGATACCTGCACCCCAGACATGCCAAACCCACGGAAAAAAATGCAGAAATTGGGCTTGTTTTTTGCTTAATTGGCTTGAGTTGCTTGTTGGCTAGTTTTTGGCTTGTAGCTTGTTTGGCTTGTAGTTTGTTGCTTCTTTTTTTTGATTGGCTCCTGGCAAGCAGGGGCAAGGGCGGGGGCAAGCAGCGGGAAAGAGTCAGGGGTGCACAGTGGGCCCACCACAGTCCCAGACTGCACGCCGGAGGTATATAGTACATAAAGTGTTGGAGTTCTTAGGGATTGGCTTGTTTTGAAATGGGATTAGCTTGATTTTTGGCTTATTGCAAAAGTCAGGGTGCTTATTTACTGTGTGAAAGTTGGCAACTGTGCTTGGGGGCTGGCAGGCAATGGCTCGAAAGTCCCCAAAGTCCTGGGATGGCCTTGCCAGGCAAGCTGAGGGGCTGGTGGCCAACTTACAGTCAGTCATCTCCCAGTGTTCCCCAGTTTCTCCCGATTTGACAAAAGGGAAGGGAAGAGTAGGGGGACTCAAGCTCTCCCTCTCCACCAGGTTCTGGCTCAGGGCTCAAAGTCGAAAGGGTGAAGTGTGTCTCAGTTCTTTCTTGCAGGTACACCAGACCAGCCTCCCCTGTTCTCTCTTCAGGTCTTACCTGGGGCAGCAGGTTTGTAGAAATTTTGGTGGTGCCCAGAATGCCTAGAGCCCACCCCCCCAAACTCCGACCCAGACCTGCCTAAGGCTCTGGGAGGGAGTTTGTGTGGGGGGAAGGAAGTCTGGGGTGCAGGCCCTGGGCTGGGGCAGGGGATTGGGTGCAGGCTCTGGGAGGGAGTTTGAGTGCAGAAGGGGTGAGATGTTGATCTCTGGGAGGGAGTTTGAGTGGTGGAGGGGGTCTGGGGTGCAGGCTCTGGGATGGAGTTTGGGTGCTGGGTGTAGACTCCAGGCTGGGGTAGGAGGTGGGGGTGAGGGATGTAGGCTGTGGGCTAGGGGTGGGGGTGCAGGCTCTCGAAGGGAGTTTGGGGGTGGGAGGTGTGCAGATGGCTGGGGCTGGGGTGCAGGCTCTGGGAGGGAGTTTGAGGACAGAAGGGTGTGCGTGGGAACAGGGTGGGGGTGCAGGCTCTGGGACGGAGTTTGGGTGCAGGTTCTGGGCTGGGGCAGGGGTGCAGGCTATGGGAGGGAGTTTGGGGGTGGGAGGTGTGTAGAGGGCTGGGGTGCAGGCTCCGGGATGGAGTCTGGGTGCAGGCTCTGGGAAGGAGTTTGGGGACAGGAGTGGGTGTGGAGGTGCAGGCTCTGGAAGGGAGTTTGGGGGCAGGAGTGGGTGTGTGGGAAAGGAGGGGGTGCAGCGCTCACCTGGGGCTCCTAGGCAGGGTGGGCTAAGGTCTCCGTGCTCTGCTACCCCCAGGCACTGCCCCTGCAGCTTTCTATTGGCTGCAGGGGCGCTTGGGGCAGGAGCAGTGCACATAGACACAGACCCACCCTGCCCAGGGGCTGCAGGGAGGGACCAGCACCTATGTGTAGCAAGCAGGCAGGAAGCTGCTCAGCTCCGCTGCTGGTGGCGGGTGGGGGCCCCAGGCCATTTTAAATGGCCCAGGGGAGCGCCCAGGAACAGAAGGTGGGGCCAAGGAAGAGACCTGGCCTCAAACATTGCTGGAGCTGGGCCCTGGGCCAGGAATATTCCTGGTGCCCAGGCACCATGGGCCCATATGATTCGCCGCCTATGGTCTTACCCACACTAGTCTTACCCATAGTCCAGCCTTCCCCTGTGGATCCTCTGTCCCAGAAGCTAGTGCTACAAACTGGCTTGCTTGTTTGTTTCCTTCCTACAGACAGCCTCTCTGCTCTCTCCCTCCCCCTGAGCGTCAATTTCCCCTTTTAAACAGGTCTTCCATTTGAAGCATGCTTTGCAGCTGTGGAGGAGCAGGGCCTTCTTGCTCCATCATTCAGTTGGCGTGGTGTCTGTAAACCCCATCATAAAGCAAAATAATACACATACATTTTAGTTAAATAGAATGTATTAATTTGACATTAGATAATGCAGTTCACAGTAACAGCATTTCTTCACAAGTTGGGAAAAATCATATTCCTGACAAAACAAGTTTGTACACTTGTCTTGTTTTTAAAAAGATTTAAAGTTAGAAAATATCTATTATTGATTCGTCCACTTTTTTATATAGTGCAGGAATAACCAATAGTTATAGGAAATGTGCCTGGCTTGGATTTTTATTAAAAATGGATCCATACAGCTTTCAAAATTCATTATCTTCTTCCTTTAATAATCTTCAGCATCACCAGCACAGATGGCAAGTAAAGCTGTCTCATAATGTCCTGAAGCAAAATGCTGCAAGGGAAAGAATCTTTTTGTGATGATAATTTTTCCTCTTTCTCCCCCCCCCCCCCCCCCCCAGCCAAGAAAACCATTTTTGTGTATGACGGACTGGAGGACATTTGAGAAGTTGTGGGTTTTGCACAAGACTTTCAATGCTTCATAAAGATTCTAGACCAAGATTTTCAAAAGTGATTAGTAATTTTGGATCTCTCTTTTTTTGGGGGATGGTGGGGGAAGGGGCAACCTGAGGCACCTACAAGGTCTGATTTTCAGAAGGTGGCTGCTCAGTTCTTTCTGAAAATCAGGTCCTTTTAATGTATCTCAAATTGAGCACTGAAAATTCATTGATCAGTTTTGAAAATCTTAGCCGTAGATATTTTCTCATAAAAATAATAATAAAAAAATCATAAAAACATTGGAAAGGTTTTTACTGCACTGAATCATATTACAAGAATTCAACAATACAGTTCATGATTGTCTGAAGATATGGGACTGACAGTACAAGAAAAATAGCTCTTTCTGGTGGTTGCTATGTAAAAAAACCCAACACACACAGTAGGAATGATTTTGATTTCTCTTAATCATCACTGTAAATCAAATAAAAATCTGGCCCATCATGTTTTCAAGAAAATAACTCAAAATAAAATAAAGGACTAGATCCTGCAGACACAGAACCTGCTCTGCTCTTATTGAGGTTAATGGCAAAACTTCAATGGGACTGGCATCAGATTCATTCTGAATGTTTATTAGAATTTTTCCCAGTAGTATGAGTACCAGTAATGCAGGATTTTGTTTGTTTATAGAGGAAACAGATGTGCTAGGAAGTGAAAATCTAGCTTCATAACAATAAGTTTATAAGGTTAAAGATAGAAACAGGTCCATGCTGATCAAGGACAAACTGATTGCAGGATCAGCTTTAATTAGATTAATGAAAGAGGGGCCTTAGGGGTGGAGAAGCACTGTTTTAGGGTAGATGTGATGAGGCTAAATAATACAAATACATTTAAAATGCTCCCAGGTAGTGCATGGTGCTGGTACTGTGCTTCATGGTGGATGTGGCAAGGATACCTGAACATTTTCAGCCAAGATTAGTTTTGCCACGTGATTAACAAAAGAGGCCTAGCATAGGCAAGGGAACTGCAAAGGTCATTTTACATCACTTCAGTAACCTTGTATGACCACCTATGGGTTGCTCTACAGCTCAGAATACCCAGAGAAAAGGGTGCTTTGGCCATATCACCTCCCTCTCCAAACGGAAACTGGGCACAGCCTCACATCAGGGGGTTAGGGAGGAAGACCACAGAGCTGCTCCACAAGGTCTATACCAGTAGGGGAACAACTTTTTGCAAAGTATTTCCCCAGCAGGCAGTTCTGTCCCCAGGAGGGGGCGGGATGGGACAGAATCAGGCCTATAATATGAAAGTGTGATTAGAATTTAGTGGGAAGTATTATCTCATCTTTATTGTTCATTTACTAAAAGTAGTCAGAGGCACTGAACTGATGTAACATGAGTTCAGGCAGCATATTGTTACTTCTGCCTTTGTATCAAATGCTTAGATTAGGATTCAGAATTAACTCAACATTTACTATTGTTAAAGCTCTCATATGGATATATGAAACTCTGCTATTGAACTAGGTACTGCATACATGGAAAAGTATAGAGTGACTTACTTTGATATCATGAAACAGAGATTTCCCATATCTCTCTTTGTATCGTCGTCTTATATTCATCAGATCTATTTCACTTCTGGCAATCAGAATCCTGATAACAGTTTTATTATGGAAACCATACTCCTAAAAGAGGAGAAAGATATGAGGAAACTTGGCTGAGTCTATCTATCTGAATATATTAATATTATGTGCAAATGAGCAAATTATCATCTTGATATATATTCTGGATTTGACAGAAGTTTGAAGTGTACAGGGGTTTTACTATACTAAGCTTTCTTGTGTATGAATAGTGCATTTCATATTACTGTGTAACTGAGATAAAATCTGTACTCCAAACGCCACTTCAAATTTTTCTGTGTTATCTTATTAATGGCCAGTTGTATTTACTACTTTTTTTTTTAAAGCATGTGCTTAAGTACTTTGCTGAATCAGGGCCTCAGTCATTAATCATTTTTGTTGAGACTGCCAACAAGAATGCCAGGTGGGATGGTGGCTTTTGTTATGTGTAATTTGTCCACTTAAGACTAGACTGAGACCACCATCCTTTTTCACATAGGTTGCCGAACAACCATCAGATTCTAATCAGTGATTTAGAACTCTAATGCTTTGTATCCAACCATGAATCACGTGAGCTGTTCAGTTTCTCAGATGGATTCTGCATGGAGGAATGGTGAGAATGAAGGTGGGTGAGATAATTGTGATGTTGCACTCCATATGTTTTATGGAAATATGTTTATAAGTGTGAATATAATGTAACTGAAATATGCTTCACGCAAAAGGTCTCTTGTAAGGTATCTTACAAAGCTTATGATCTACTGAGTGTGTTCATCCCATTTGTATGAATGTATCATTCTCGTATCTGAAACTGGAAATATGAAGTATAACTCTGAAGTCCTATTGTAGCTATGCAAAGTGTGGGTCATTAATGGTAGCTTGGAATCTTGATGGCTCCCATCAACTAGGACAATTGGTTGTATATGGCTCTGTTTACTTGTAAGCCATCCTGTATATGTGGGTGCCAGCCCCTGAGTAATGAAGACTCACAGGACATGTGAACGTCACATGATACTGGAATCCATTTTAAACCTGGTGATTTTCCGTTTAGAAGGATGGGTGGGAACCCAGAGAGAGACAAAGGATTCCCGCCTTATGCCAAAGATATAAAAGGGATGGAACAGAACAAAGGGGGCTGCAGTCATGAGAAATCCCCTAGTTACGACCTGAGCGGGAACTAACAAGAACTGTACCGGGGAAAGGATTGGGCCCAGACTAAGAAGGTGTCTAATCTGTGAAAGAAGCTTATTGGAACATTTCTGAGGGTGAGATTTACCTGTATTCAGTTTCTTAATCTATTAGGTTTAGACTTGCGTGTTTTTGCTTTATTTTACTTAGGGACTTACTTTGTTCTGTTTGTTATTACTTGGAACCACTTAAATCCTACTTTTTATTCTTAATAAAATCACTTTTGTTTATTATTGAACCCAGAGTAAGTGATTAATACCTGGGGGAGAAAACCGCTGTATCTCTCTCTCTATTAGTGTTATAGAGGGCAGACAATTTATGAGTTTACCCTGTACAGGCTTTAAACAGAGTAAAACAGATTTATTTGGGGTTTGGATCCCACTAGGAGCTGTGTGTCTGGGTGCTGGAGTACCTGCTGAGTGGCTTTCAGTTAAAGCCTGTAGCTTTCGGGACGTGGTTCGGACCTGGGGCTGTGTTGCAGCAGACTAGCATTGTCAGGCTCAACAAGGCAGGGTTCTGGAGTCCCAAGCTGGCAGGGAAAACAAGCTCAGAGGCAGTTTGAGTATGTGAGGTGACAGTCCCAAGGGGGTCTCTGTAACCAAACCTGTCACAATAATATCTTTTATTGGACCAATTTCTGTTGGTGAGAGAGACAAGCTTTCAGGTTTAGACAGTGCTCTTTTTCAGGACACTTCTGGAGGAATGGTGACATCTAGTGGACAGTAACACTAATTCAAACAATTTTGAAGGTTGCAGGGGAAATATTTACTTATTACAAATGTTGGTTTATTTAAAGGTGGCAGGTTGAATTTATCAATTAGCTATTCACACTAACAGAATAAAGTAGTAAGGGATACTCAGAAAGCTGCATTTACAGGATTTGATTCTTATTTTGTGGGTGCACTAAAATCTTTCTGACAACCCATTATGGATTTTACGGAAACCATAGTTCTAAATATTAGAAGCTTTCTTAACAGACTGATGCTAATCATGCAATATTCTAAATAGAAATCTGACAAAAGTTTGACACAATCTGATTGATTAATGCACTGTGGAATGGAATATGATTTAAAATGTCTACTATTGGCAGCATACCATATCACTAAGCATTTCATTGACATCAATCACTAGGCACTAGGAGGAAACTGAGAAATTTATTTCAAATTTATTTTATTTTTTCTGCAATTTTATTTAATATATTTTCTCAAAAATCTAATCTGACTGTGAAAATAAGAAATAATTGCACAATGGCACATTTCACTCAAAAATGAGCCTGGTTTAGCACAACAATTTTGTGAAAATAGAATCAAATTTGAATTTGAAAAAATATGAAAATGCTCAGATTCTGAACATTTTAAATCATGAATACTTTACATAAATTTACAACAGCAGCACACAATATGAAGAAAAACACGTGTGGTATTTTTACCCCTATGCAGTATTTGTGGATACTTCTGATTACATATGCAGATACCCACATTTGCACCCAATATTAATTTTTTTAAGCTAATGTGCATAAAAATATTAGGATTTGCACATGTAAATGGAGTCCAATTGAAAACATGGTGATTAGTATTTTCACACTATAGCATTTGTATTATGCCATTCACAGTGATATTTATTAAAGCTCTACAGCGGAAAGTCATATAATAAGAATAGATCATCTTGAATAAAAAGTGCGCTTTGAATTTTGCACACCAGGGGGAGATGCAGTCCATACAAAATGATGGTTTTCTGTTTTCAAAAAGTCAATGCAGTTAACGGACAAGTAGTGTTGAAAGAAAACTCATCTGTTGATCAAGCACTATGACTTTGAAATTAATAACATTACCAAAATTTTTAAAACAAGCAAGCAACACTTTAACAGTGGAAGCTATCAAAACCCTAACCCTTTTAAAGCAAATGAGCTAACTCATTCAAAATAGAGACAGTAAAACTGTTGTTTAAAATATGTGAAAGAATAGTGCTACTTACATGGATTGCATTGTAAAGCCTATATGCAAAATAGGAAGGTTTATCTCGAACACAGAGAACTAGGAGAGATATGTTATGGAGAAAAGGAGAAATATTAGAGACTTTCAGAAAACTGCATCAATGGTGTGTTTATGTGATCTTGAGGGTGCTTATTGGGTTGAAGTGAAACGAGTTGATACTGGTTGATAGAAACTTTCTCACATTGCACAGTTCATGGCTGTGGGTCAGGTTGCCCCTTCTATCTTAGAAAAAACCTGGGGTGCTCCTCAAAATGTTTACCTAACAATACTCATTCAATGGGAGGTGGCAGAATTTTCAATCCTATGGAATTGCCTGTTTAAAGTGCAGATTATAAAATTCTAATCTCAGGCCACCTGGAAGGAGCCTCTCTGTTTCTGTACTGGCTGTGGGCCTTCCCCCCAGCAGGCAGGGCAGCTTTACCTGTGGTTCATCTTAAGGATGCTGGTAGTTTAAGAACATGGTTTTATTTTTCAGTCATAATAATTTGCTATTTATTTATAAATTTTTTATGGTGTTCATCACCATACTATCTAAGTGCCTCAGAAACTTTAATGAATTTAGCCACATGACATCTTTGTGAGGTAGGGAAGTATTATTACCATCATGGGCGACTCATGAACCCCCCTTTGGGAAGCCTAGCCCCCTACCCCTCCTATTCCGCTGGAGGCCCTGCCCCAACTCCATTCCCCCCCCCCCCGGCTCTCCATCCCTCCGCCAGAGCCAGAGGAGCCCCAACCCCCCCACTGCAACCAGATGGATCCTGGCTGGCCCACCTGAGCTGCTCCGAGCCGCAGCCTGCATGCCCAAGCCATCTCCAGCCCACCGGCCCAGGCGCCGGAACTGCCCCAAGCCCTGGTCGCCTGGGGGAGCTCTGAGCCCTGCCACGGCCTGGCCCCAGGGCCGTGGTGGGGAGCATTAACAGAGGTTTGGGGAAGGTTAGCATCCCCCAGCCTCCGTGATGCATTGCCCATGATTACCGTCATTTTACAGATGGGGAAACTGAGGCACGGAGAATTTAGGAGCTTGATCCTACACCACTGAAGACATGCAGTTTTGCCATTTGTTTCAGTGTGAGCAGAATCAGTGCCTAATGGACTTGCCCATGGTCACACAGGAAGTTTGTAGCAAAACCAGAAGCAGAATCCAGTTCTCCTCAGCCCTAATCCAGTGACCACATTTTAATTTTTAGCCTCAACCTACGATACAATTTAAATGCCCTTTCTTCTATATAGCCTTAGACTTGTTGGTTGATTTTCTTCCAAATGTTCAAAGTTTCTACACCATATATGAAAATTAACTAGTGGGGAAAATAGCACAAAAAGATTATATTTGTACCTTTTAATGGACCAGATGTACTATACTGTATATTTATTAAGAAGTTATCACTAGTGTAAAATAATCATTTTATTTTACCTATTGCTACCAGCAGTTCTTGAAAGAATCCATCGTAACATTCATTAATAGCATCTACTATATCTTGCCCAGAGATATTTTGGAACTCCTGAAAAACTTGAAAGAAATGAATATGTTTATTTATATTCTGTATTAAGAGTAGAAACTAGCTCCAGCCGTTTTGTTGCTGTTTACTTTTGACATGTCTATTACCCCAAAATGAAACTTAATCTAAAATGAGAGATTGGGACAGATTCTCAACCCAGTACTTGGAGCAAAGCAGCTGGAAAGCTGTCCTAAAAGGGCATCTGGCAATTTCTTAGCATGGGGGTGTGGGGTAGAGAATAGCATAGCCAGCTCTATACTAACACCTGCCCACATCCCCATGAGGTGGATTGGGGTTAGGAGTATGTTCCTTCTTATCCTTGTTGATGTAATATCCCCCAGGAGAGCATTACAAGCTGAAGTAAATTAGTCCATCCTTTATGCTATAGAGCTGTCTGGAGAATGACAATTCCATTTTGAGATTTGTTTTCATTCCACACTAGAACAAAACGAAAACTTTTGGAACATTTTCTCAAAATGGAATTGTGTCTAAATGTCCATTCTTGGACTGAAAAGGTCAGGTTTTCGATTCATCTCACTCTCTCGCTACACATGAGCAACTGGGGAGTCCGCACTGACCTCAGAAGCCTTCCCATAGAAAATGTCAAAATTGACATGTTTCTGTAAAATGTATCAGCTTCAATGGAACACCATGTTGTGACAAAAATATGTTTCATTAAAATGTTTCCAACCAGCAGCTGTCACTTGTTTGGTTGGGTGTTTTTTGGGGGGTGGGGGGTGGGGGGTGGGGGGTGGAGGGTATTTGGCCCTCTCTGCCCCCCAAGACTGGGAAAAGTGGAACGGTGGCTTCAGTGCACTTTTGACTCCCCCCCCACCAGATGAATTGAGTGTGAGCTCCAGGGGTGCTGGAACAATTTTTATAGTGGGGGTGCTGACCATGGAAACCATGCATTTGGTGTTTGTTATTACTACTTCAAGCCAGGGGGCGTGGGAGCACTCCCTAGTTCCAGCACCACTGGTGAGGTCAGTGCAGCTGAAGACTTAGCCCGTCACCTTAACTATCATTTCTGTGATGCATTTTTTTCACTATCTGTTCTACACGGGGTTCAGCTTTGTAGTCCTTGTACACCCAAAACTCCCATTAACTTCAGCTGGAGTTTTGGGAGCACAAAGAATGTAGGCTCAGGCTCCTGTTTCAGACTGCACTGGAATCTGAATATTGGTTTGTGAATTCAGCTTCTGTGTGCCTAGTTAAAATTATGCCTGTTGTCTCTGTAAGCTATATTTTCCCTTTCCATTATACATTAAAATACTGAGAAGTTGGATTCATAAGTGATGATAATTACCCATCCACAACTGCTGGTAACTCTTGTTGCACAAGATCATTTGTATCATGTTTTTGTGTTCCCCTGTTTTCTGCTGACATGCTTCCCATAGGACCTAAGGCATTAAAATAATAACAAGGTGCAAAAGATCATCAGTCCCAAACCCCTTTAAACAAGACTTTCAAACAGCTACATATTTGTTTTCTGTTATTTTTGAGAAACTGACAGCTGATTGTAATTACCATTGCATCCTGAACAGCCATAGCAGGATCTGCATACCCTTCCTCTCGGGTTCCCTGTAAAATTTTAAAACATTTTCCTCTGTAAGTTCTTCTAAAATGACTGCAAGAGAATGAGATGGTCTTTATATAATACTACTTCTCATTCACTGAGATATCCATTCCAGGATTTTACACAAGAATGGTGTGTGGTAGAGCTGGTCTATAGAGCCCTAAAATATTCTAGAGGTTACATCTGGAATTGCTATGGCATCTGTCCAAGGGCCATTCCCTTAGGGTGGAGGAATTCTAGAATCATGATGGGACTGATGACAGGAAGTAGTCATAAAGGTGGATACAGATGGGTTCCCTGTGGGACTACATTTTTAACTAATCCTTTTCTTACATAAAAGAAAAATTAGTGAATAACTAGATGACATTACCTGTTTATAAAGTTATTATAACATGTGGTTATGATGTGGAAAATAACTGTACAAATGGCATCTTTGTGTCTCCAGTTTATTTTTCATTGATATGTCCATATAACTTTGCTATTTTTTACAGGGAAAAAAACCACACACTTTTTTCTCACTGTCCAAACTGCAAGATCAGCCATATCAAATAGTGATCGATCTGCTTTACACTGCATGTTACCATCATCACCTGTAATTAATATTCAAGATTGAGAAGTTGCCTGACAAATTTGATGATGTATGAGTCAAAAGAGAATACAGTTTATTCTCCCGTAGCTCTTTTGGCTTTGCAGTTCTGTAAACCAAGCAGATATGATTTAGTTAATACACTAGGATCAGATTTATTTAGTTGTAACAAAAGAAAAGTCTTTTAGAATAACTCCTTTTAATCATAGTTACAGTGTAAGGATACAAATAAGCCCAGGTTGCAGGAGTCATAATTCCCAGACAGCACTTAATCATTGCCTTAATGATATGTTTTTGAAGCAATTTATTTTAGTTTGGCGTTGACAATCATTCTGCTACAAAAGTGAAAGTAAGGATTAAAATTATATATTGTCTGCCAACTACTAGAATGACCAGTTTTCAACTGTTGCCTGGGAAATATGTTAATTCACATTTTAATTAAATTGTAAAGAATTTGCACAGAACAAAGAATGAAGTTCTTAATGACAAGATAAATTGCTTAAAGGAAATTATGCTGTAGTGACTTCCTGTGATTGAATATATGAAACTGGAAAAATATGACAAGTGGACAATAAAAACTGAGCAGCAGTGCTTTACATAAACAAAAAAACCCTACAGTTACATTTTTAAAGGATTATTCTTGCCTTATTTAATCAGGAGAATCCTAAAAACTGCATCAATATTCTTATTTTTAAATTCCAGAAAATGATGTTATTTTAATTCATATCCATGCCAAAACCTGGGGCAAAATAGATCAACTCTTCATGTCATATTAAAAGTCTGGATAATTATAATTCGATCCAAGTACATTACATTAATTAGGATGTAATAAGCCTTCCAGAAGCTTGCCTCTTCTGAAGGATTTTGCCACTACCCATTAATTGGTGGTGGTGGAGTGCGGGGGGGATACATATGCTTTTCCCTTATGGAAAAGTATTATAGGCCTCAGTATTGTAATTATGGCAATCAGATAGATTGCTGCTCCTGCAGAGAGCCCCATTGGCCCATATTATAAATGTCTGTGTGCTATCAATTGCAGGATCAAGGCCCCAGAATTTAATAGTAAACCAATACAATTTTTAGAAAATATTTTAAAAAAAGAAACCGTTGATACAGAATGACATCCTTTCTATAGGTTACATAGAAATAGGTAGAAAGAATCTAATTTTCTATTTTAATCTATAACATTGTCCAGTTTATTCTCCAAGACTATCCAAAAGAGAAAAAATAAAAAGGATAACATTTTAAATTAAGTGTCATCTGACTTTTCTACAATTGTTTTTATTAACATATATAAGGTAATATTCACACGCAGATAAAAACTTACAAAGAAGCACATTATGAAACAGTGCAGTTGGAGTTCTCCAGAGCTCTTTTTAGGCTCCAGAATCTGAGATGAGTAGCTGGTGGGATCCTGACTATTTGGTGATCCACAGTCAGCCTCTTTAGGGATATTTGTGGCAATGTGTTTTGACAATGAGGACTGCAGATTATAGGGCAGGATGTTTCGTATTTGTCCTGATTGTAAGAAAAAATTACCCTGGCTTTAATAAGGGTAAGAACGAAGATATTGTGCAATCTTTTTGGGGTGGCAAGGAGTTCATCACCAGGGAGAAAATCTGTTGAACATTAGAAGGAAAAAGTCTCTCTTTTGCAGAGCCTACATCTGGAACATAATATTTTTTCTCTCCTTGTCATCCACTCCTCATCTCATTTTGAACCTCATCAGAAACCATCCTTTTCAACCTTGAACTTATGTTTTGTATCTTTGCCATTCCTCCCTGCTAGAATATGTGCTGTTATTTATTGTTTAACTCTGCAGAGCATTTTGAGATAATGATCCAGTTCATCAGCTGGTATGAATTGGCCATATTCATCAGCTGGTATAAATTGGCATAGTTTAATTGGAGTTAATGAACCTATGCTGATTTACACCCATTGAGAATATTCCTCAAAGTTTGTATGAAAGATTCTGTACAAACAAGGCCCCCATTCTGCAAATACAGACATGAGTAGTGCCCTTTATTCTTGTATGTAAAATTACTCACATGCATGAATGTTGGCAGGATAAGGACCTAAAATTACATGGTATTGAATTAGGCCCTAATTTGGTAAAGTGTGTAAGCACTTTCCTATCCTTAAGAATGTGAGAAGTCACCTTGGCTTCATTGGGACTATTTATGTGCCTAAAATTGGGTAAAATGCTTAAGAATCATGCTGAATCAGTGCCTTAATCATTAAGACTTACTATGACTGAAAGTTCTTTGGAACAGGGGCCAGGCCTTCATATTTTTGTACAATCCCTAACAATCCTGATTGGGGTCTTTGTGCACTACCCTGATTTAAAAAAAAAGAAAGAAAAGAAAATGCATAGGTGTACACGCGTGTGCTCCACACCTTTCATTTCCTCACCCTGGTGTCCAACCCTGCCGTCGAGTGGTGGGATCTCCTACCACCATGGAGGGTGAGGAACTCTGGTGGGCCAGTCTGTATTCCACATTGGTCTTGTGGCCCGTGGGGGATATTAGTTGGCAGCGTGTTCACGGAGCCATGAGCATGGGCATGTAGTTGGTGCAGTTCACCTTTCTTGCCCCTTGTGTGGTATGAGGGAGACCCTGGTGCACATGTATCTTGAGTGTGCCAGGCTGCAGCCCCTTTTCCAGCTTCTCCTTAGGTTATGGCTGCACTGTTCACTGCACCTCCTGATTTACGCACACCCCAGCTGTGGCCCCACAAAGTCATGAGACCTCCTCATCAACCTCCTCCTGCCACTGGCCAAAGTGGCCATCCACCATACCAAGAGAAGGATGCTGCATGGGGAGGTGCTCTGTGACTGTGAGGCCTATTTTCACTCCTCCCTCAGATCACATATCCAAGCAGTGTTTCTCTGGGATGCATCCACTGGTTCCCTGGACACCACTGGGGAGCAGAGGATGCTGTCTGGGGTTCTCTGATCAGTGTCTCCTTCTGTCATAAATATAAAGGGAACAGTAAACCCCTTAAAAATCCCTCCTGGCCAGAGGAAAAATCCTCTCACCTGTAAAGGGTTAAGAAGCTAAAGGTAACCTCGCTGGCACCTGACCAAAATGACCAACGAGGAGACAAGATACTTTCAAAAGCTGGGAGGAGGGAGAAGAACAAAGGGTCTGTGTCTGTCTGTATGCTGCTTTTGCTGGGGACAGAACAGGAATGGAGTCTTAGAACTTTTAGTAAGTAATCTAGCTAGGTATGTGTTAGATTATGATTTCTTTAAATGGCTGAGAAAAGAGCTGTGCTGAATAGAATGACTATTCCTGTCTCTGTGTCTTTTTTGTAACTTAAGGTTTTGCCTAGAGGGATTCTCTATGTTTTGAATCTAATTACCCTGTAAGGTATCTACCATCCTGATTTTACAGAGGTGATTCCTTTACTTCTATTAAAAGTCTTCTTGTAAGAAAACTGAATGCTTTTTCATTGTTCTCAGATCCAAGGGTTTGGGTCTGTGGTCACCTATGCAAATTGGTGAGGATTTTTACCAAACCTTCCCCAGGAAGTGGGGTGCAAGGGTTGGGAGGATTTTGGGGGGAAAGATGTGTCCAAACTACGTTTCCCAGTAAACCCAGATAAAGTTTGGTGGTGGCAGTGGAAATCCAAGGGCAAAGGGTAAAATTAATTTGTACCTTGGGGAAGTTTTAACCTAAGCTGGTAAAAGTAAGCTTAGGAGGTTTTCATGTAGGTCCCCACATCTGTACCCTAGAGTTGAGAGTGGGGAAGGAACCTTGACACCTTCCTTGCTTTTGACCCTGTGACCGTCCCTTACGGTTGCTAAACCTCCAGAGGCCTAGAGTCTCCAGGAATCGGCATCAATCTCCCGGTGAGTTGAAAGCAATCCTGGAGATTGTAATAGGATATTTTAAGAAAATGACATTACGTCATGTTGGAAAAAAAATCTCCTGGAATAGCTTCAGTCAGAGTTGGCAGTCCTACCGTCACTCCCATTCCTGTTATTCATCAGTTGCCCCCTGACTTCAGTTGAGACCTGGGTTCAGTAGTTCCTCCTCTTAGGCTGGGGGAGGAGTCTTTAGATGAGGGCGGAACTTGCACCTACCCTCCCCCAGATTTTCAATAAGTACTCACTCCCTGCGCACTGTCACAGATGGTTTTATGATTAAAGCAACTGAATGCCACCCAGAAAAATTAGATATTCCCCTGCCTCTCCACATAGTTCCTATGTGGTACTGGCAAAGTCACATAAACCAAAATTTTCAAAGATGTCCAGGGCTTGATGGTACTCGCTAAATAATGCATGCAGCTACATGCTGAATAATCAGGATAAAGGGAAATGCTGAGTGTTTATTAAATGAACACTGTGCATTCTGTGCCCTGAATGAGGAAGGGGTCATGTGGCAAAAAACCACAATAAGACTATATCATTATGCATATGCACAAGGGAGCCAAAATAAAATTTCTTAGGAAACCTTAATCCTGGTATTTCCTAACTTTTGGCTGGTTGACTTGTCAACCCTAGTGTTCTTTTAATGTAGAAGTTTTTTTGTTTTGTTTTTTGTCTGTTTTTTGTTTTTTTCATGTAATACTAATATAGAGTCAAATTTTCTGGTCCAGGTGCAACCATAAAAATGTGCAGTCGCCCATTCTGACTGCAGCTCTCCATTTGCCATGTGCAAACAGTCATTTGTGTACCTATTTGTAAAAACAAATGCAGGTACAAAGGTACATGTAGATTTCTGACAGTGCACCTGTTGCTTTTGACCCATATTGTGAAAGTTCCCAATTCAGTTTTCACGCTAAACATATTTAGATGTTTAAGATGTAATAATTCCTGAAATACAAACAAAATTAATTAGGGCACTAGCATGAAGGCATCTTCCCCCTCTGTGTCTTTTTGATAACAGTATTTACTGTCCCCATTTACTGTCCCCAGTATCTTCTGTCCCTTGCCTTATGGCACAACACTTTAGGGTTTGATTCTGTAAAGAGTTGATCACCAATTTTGAGCTGTTGACAGTCTCCTAATTTAGTGAGAATTGACCATATCTCAACAAAAAAGCCCTCAAGCACTTTACAGGATCAGGAAGTTTGTAAATAATATTGACAATCTTCCTGCATGAGGTACAACCACAGTGTAAACAGCATGTTGTGTGGCAGATTTCTTCAGCACAAAGAACATGTTTTTTTGAAAACAGAAGGAATATAAAGATCTGTTTAATAATTTCTTGCATAGTCAGTCCAGCTATTTCTCCATTTTTCTATGTGACATACAAACCGTAATATGGACAGTACACTCCATTAATGAAAAAAACAGAGCTTGTGAAAGAAAATCCCATTTGGATATGAAGATACTTTCTTTTCCGAGCATAGGGTCAGACGCTGGAATTTTCAGATTCTTGTTCAATAAAATACTCAATTGACTTGCATTCAAAAACCAAAGTGAAAGCAGATGAAAGAATTTAAATTCTAATCTTTCCCCTTTTTGCAGCCCCTTCAAAAATGTAGCTTTTCAACCATATTGAGCATGGATTAGTTTTAATTGTAGCCAATTTAAAATCTGAGGCTCCTTCAACAATATTAGAAGGTGATTCTGCATTTTAAAAAAATGTAGAACATATTTTGAGTTTGTACAGTACCTGAGCGAGGTTCATAAGTGTGTCTCTGAAGTGGCCTGAAGTCTCAGAATAAATGTCTTGTTGAAGATCATTGTTGTATTCTGGGGTGAAAACCACAACAAACTTGTGTTAAACGTGTAATTTGTAGAACGCACAAATATTCTCTGAATAATGTTAGTGAAGATTTACAAACAGCAATGAGTAACTAGAATAAAAGATATACTCAGTATATTGACATTTGCAAGTCTTTTAACACTTTTCATTCTGCAATGAGCAATAAATTGGCTTACTCATGTGGGGATAGATCTTCAAAAGGATTTTCACAAGAGTTTAAGCAGGTTAGGCACCTAATTCACTTAACCTGCTTATTCACTTTTGAAAATCCCATGAGGTGCCTATCTGCATTTTTAGGTGCCTAAACACCTAAGAAGATCAGGTCTCTGCTGCTAGCAAGAACCTCAGTGACTTTTTACCTAAACAGTGACTGTGGATTCAAGCCTAAAATGACAGTTACTGTAGAATTAGTGAGATAGTTATAAGATAGAGAACAAACAAACAAAACCCCTCCTTCTCTTTAAAGATTTAAAGAGTTTAATCTTCCTCCAAAAGTTATAATCCAAAAATATCAGTCTGTGGATGTTTCAACTGAGAGATGTTTCAAAGATCACAGAATCCTGAATGTCTAAAAATACTGAGATATTTTTATGATAATAAATAAAAATTTAAACTTGATTTATACATTTTGCTTCAGCCTTTGATGTACAATTATCCTGAAACAAGGAAAGAGGGAAAACAATTGGCTTTAAGAATTCATCTTTGGAAGTCTAGCTCTTTCAGTCATGCAACTATATCCAGAACACACTTAGTCAGAATTGGACCCTTGCAGGATATGCTACTGTATACTTAAATAAAATAAACAATACGCATTAAGTAGGCTTCTTTCATTTGGAAGATCTCCCCATTTGATCTTGAGGCTAGTATATCAATAAGACAGTTCTCTTCCATGTCTGCTCCCTGCAAGGAAAAAATAGCAAACAAGCAAGGTCATTACTAGTAGAGATAATGGCTTCCAATACAATTGTAATATTTGTCAAGGACTGTGAAAGAATGATAGTCTCTGTTTGAGGAATTCATGGTTTATTTTTATGGGTTATTTCCGTGTTAATAAGAGTACTGATTTCAGTCTTTTCAGGGTTACTGATTAGCTTTAGTGTAATTAGTATTAAAACTGAACCTCCAACACTAACACTTAAAGTTAAGCATGTGAAGTGTCCTATTGCTAAGGCAACATGGAGAGTGAGACAATGCCCTACCAAAGGGGAAAATGCACTGGGATGAATTTCATTCCTAGGGAGCAATAAAGCCCTTTTAAATATGTGGGGCTCTGTAAAGAATTAAATGCATATATCAAGCATGCTGTCCCTAATTGTGCTAGGGGTTTAGACAATTTGAAATGTATTTGAACATCAATAACATGCTGTGCTTCCAGTTTCTCTTTTTTGGAATTACTTAAAAGTATGTTTTGGAATGTTTACAACAGTACTTGATTTTTACATGAAATACTTCTTCATTACTGTCATACCATGTAGGATTGCAAATCATTACATTTCCCCACAAGGTTGTTGACTTCAGTTTGAGAGTTTGAATTCAGGTGAGTGGATGCTACATATACTACTTTTGATAGGTGCATACAGCTCTTGTTAATGACAATGAGAATTCTGCATTTAGAACAGGAGAAGAGTATGCCAGCAAGGCCTCAGTTCTGCAGAGTTATGTATATGCATTATTTTAAGCATCCGAGTAATCTCATTGACTCCACAATTAAGGTACAAGAGTGTAAAAAAAGCACAAACTTGATTCAAATGCAGAAAAATTCTAGATTTGCCAATCCTGGTCAATAGTGATAAAAATAGTACTTCTGAAGCTACTAATGGGCTATAATAATCTCACTGCTAATCATCATTTTAAAAATATACCAGTAGCTCTAAATGTGCCTTGATATCAACTGTTAAAAAAATGACAAAGTTGGTGCTCATTTTATTTGCTGGCAATGACTGCTTAATACAATAAAATAGTTCCTAGCCTTGAAAATGGGAATGAAATTAAAATGTTAAAGGATAGTCACTGATTTATAAAAGAGTAAGGTAGGTATTAGGGTGCAGATCATGCAAACACTTAGCCCTATGCACGTGTGTAGTCTCATGAGAAAGATTCAATGGGACTACTCATATGAGCATATCTAAGAACATGTGTAAGCGTTTGCCGGATCAGGGCCTTACTTTTCAGTTAAGAAACCATACTGTAGAAATATGTTATTTTCTTCAGTTATCTGTTTATATTTATCTGTTAAATGATTGCTGTATTTTTAAGGCTAGATTATTTATATTGCCTTTAATATATAAATACATGTAAATTGTATAGTAATGAATATTTCTTCTCTCCCACTAAACTGAGAAATGCCTTTTTAACAGTTTATCATTCAGTTATATGTCAAAGAATCTATGAAACAGATGTGAATTGTTGTAATCACTGCCTATAAGTAATTGTCTAAGTATTTTTGAGTTAGACAAGCACCTTCATAGCATGCCAGAGCTCATGGGCATCATAGGATGCAGGTGGATACATCAGGCCAACCATAATGTCTTTGAAGTGATGAGAGAGATTCTCTTTCAGGTCCATAATCAAATCCTTGGAAAAAAGATAATCAGGATTATTGCGGTACTCTTGCTGTGCAGTGGAATATTAATAACTGAAAGCATTAAAAATAAAATCTAGCAATTATTTTTGTGATATAATAAAAAGATGAGCCCTGCAGGTTGGATTGTGGCTACAGTTAAGTAACAAAAACTCTTCTCAAAGCTGTGCATATCCTTGTTGATAATATGGGCAAGACTACTGTACATCAAGAAAGAAAAAGAACACAGCAATGTTGGTTAATTAGAACATAGGTGAAAAAACCCCTAATGTTTAGAAATGGAAAAGACTGACACTGGTAAGAAAAGACATTTGGGGCCAAATTTTTGAAAGGGTCTTCAGTCTGCTTTGACACATTCTCCCTCAACTTGTGTATGCAAATCTTTATGAACCCAGACCCTTAGATGTGTCTATGGAAACAGCCTTTGCGGGAAGTCACCACAGCTATATTTTATGGGTTGTACTCAACTATATTTGTAAGTAGGTTTGTAATGTAGAGCTGGACAGAAAACAGTTTTCCCAGCTGGTAAAACTTGTCAAGATTTTGAGAATGGACTCATTCCACATCTGGATGAAACCAAGACCTTTTTGAAGTTATTCATGAAAAAAAAAATAAAATAGGCGACTCTAGGCTGGTGATTATGGCACTTGCCTGGAATGATCTGAATCAGGCAGAGGGAGACTTGAATGTGAGTTTTTGTAACCTAGGTACCCTAACCACCAGACTATTGGCTAGTCTGCTTACCCACTCTTTCAATCTCTTTTGCTGGAGTGCTTCTGGAGTGCATACAAAATTAACTCTTCATTTGAGCAGGGACTTGAACCTCCATCTCTGGTTAGTGGCCTAGCCACTAAGTTATAGTCAGTCACTCTCTCAAGCAATAGTTCATTATTTATACAAAATGTAACAGCTTCAGCAAGCAAAACGGAGCAAGAGACACAGTGATTTGGAGCAAGGACTCTGTTACATAGGCCAGAGGCATGCTGTAACCACAGGACTATAATCTCTCTTAGTCCTGTTCCTCCCTGACATTCCATCCTGGACCTGAGGAACTTTTCTTGACAAAAATTTGTTGAACCTAACCCCTTCCTACAAAACATTTCTGTTTTGACAAATCAGCATTTTTGGATTGAAATAAATCTTTCAGCCCAAAATTCCTCTAGTCATATGTCAGGGAGAAGAGTTGGAGTTTAGTCAGGAATCTAAAATGGCAAAGAAGCTGTCCCTGATGAGAGGGGCAACATGAGGGAAGGTTTTATCTTTGCTTATCTTTCCCTATTTTCCAGCACCCTTCCTCTGCTATACTTTGTGAATACTAGACTTATTTAGTGAATGTGCCCATTTGCATTTATCACATTTGCTGGACTTTTGTCTCTTGGATACCAGTACTTGATTCCTGTTAAGGTTAATGAGACTTATGGGTAAGTGCTAAGTAGCGAATGTCCCCCTAGTTGTTTTTAACAATGAACATGGAGCTGTAATATACATGGGAAAATAAAAACATTGCTGCATATTGTGACATATCACATAGTTATACTTCTTGGGGCAGATCCTCAGCTGAGAATCTTCCCCCTGGAAACTACATACTGCTTCTTCCTCACTACTAAAGGATTCTCTTCATAGACTCTTTCTTTGGGGTATAGGAGATTTCTAGGGACTTTTCCCCCCAGTGTTATTCACTCCCAGACAATGAGAAATCTTGTTATTGGCAGTTAGTGTATGTCTCTCCCTTTTTGTTTTTTATTTTAACTGAATTCAGGACTTGTGAAAGGTACTGGATTAACAAAACTAGTATGATGGCACTGGAAGCTTCTCCACAGCCCCATATGCATGCCTCTGCACTGATCTATAATGTGCTTATTGAGGGGATGAGAATGTCCATGCTCACTCACTCCTTACCTGTTTGAGGCTTTCAACTCTTAAGACTGCCAAAAAGCTTGTCACTTGCAGTAGTGATGTGTTATTGTGTGGATACCTATTCACTTATTTCCTATACACTACTAAGCAGGCATCAGGACCCAGATCCACAAAGGACCCAGATTCTTAGCATCACACTGTCTAACTTTTAAGTACCTCTAAATCACTGTAAATTCCGGGTTAGATGCCTACACTCCCTACAGAATGCATGGAGAGAGATAGGCACCTGGAATATGATCCACAAAAGCCAGCATGCTAGGGAGGGAGCTGACAAAACTAGCCAACAGCAGCTGCTTGAGGAGAGGGGTGCCTAAGTCCTGCCACTCTCCCAGAGTTAGGCGTCTATGTCTGAGCTGCAGGGAGGAACCTATCTCTGCATTCGATACACAACTGGGAACCCATTTCCTGGAGCATGTTGGTTTAGATACCTGAGCTATTTCTTATGAGATTGGCTTATGTGCTTGCCTAGCTCCATACTAAATGGGATGAAGAGGAGATGGACTCCCTTTTAAACACTAACCGGGGGTTAGGGTACTTATATGGGAGAACCCTAGTTCAGTTCTCCCTCTCCCCATCTGAAGAGGAAAAGGGATTTGAAGAAGGGTTCTCCACTATTCAGGTGGGTGCCTGAACCACTAGACTATGGCATATGGGAAATGACTGCCGAGGAGGAAGTACTGCAGAAAGGGATCTGGGGGTCATAGTGGACCACAAGCTAAATATGAGTCAAATGTGTGACGTTGTTGCAAAAAAAGTGAACATCATTCTGGGATGTATTAGCAGGAGTGTTGTAAGCAAGACATGAAAAGTAATTCTTCCGTTCTACTCCGCGCTGATTAAGCCTCAACTGGAGTATTGTGTCCAGTTCTGGGAGCCACATTTCAGGAAGGATGCAGAAAAATTGGAGAGAGTCCAGAGAAGAGTGACAAAAATGATGAAAGGTCTAGAAAACATGACCTATTAGGGAAGATTGAAAAAACTGGATTAGTTGAGTCTGGAAAAGAGAAGACTGAGAGGGGAATACGATAACAGTTTTCAAGTATGTAAAAGGTGGTTACAAGGAGGAGGGAGAAAAATTGTTTTTCTTAACCTCTGAGGATAGGACAAGAAGCAATGGGCCTAAATTGCAGCAAGGGAAGTTTAGGTTGGACATTAGGAAAAACTTCCTGTCAGGGTGCTTAAGCACTGGAATAAGTTGCCTAGGAAGGTTGTGGAATCTCTATCGTTGAAGATTTTTAAGAACAGGTTAGACAAATACCTTTCAGGAATGGTCTAGATAATACTTAGTCCTGCCATGAGTGAAAGGGACTAGACTTGATGACTCTTGCGGTCCCTTCCAGTCCTACAATTCTATTATTGGGGGGTGGGGGGAAGAGGGTATATCTCAATCTCTCTTGTTGAAGCCATTCCACTTTGTACTAAATAATTAAGTATTAAGTAGATGAGAGAGAGTGAGAATAACTCTATAGTCCAGTGATTAGGGCACTCACATGTGAGGTGGAAAACACCTGTTAAAATTCCTTTCCCTCAGGCAGAGGGGGAAATCAACTGGGGTCTCCCACATAGACGCCATCTCTGTGGGTGCTCCGGGGCTGGAGTACCCATGGGAAAAATTGGTGGGTGCAGAGCACCCACCGGCAGGTCCCCGCCCCGCCCCAGGTCACCTCCGCCTCTGCTCTGCCTCCTCTCCTGAGCGCGCTGTCGCATCCTGCTTCTCCCCCCTCCTTCCCAGCGCTTGCGCCGCAAAACAGCTGTTTCGTACAGCAAGTCTGGGAGGGAGGGAGGGCGAAGGAGAAGGAAAGCGGCGCACCTGGGGAAGAGGCTGGGCCTGGGTGGGGATTTGGGGAGGGATCCAACAGGGGCATCGTCATGGCGGGGCCGGGGGGGGAGGGCACAAGCACCCACCGGCGCCAACAAAAGTTGGCACCTGTGATCTCCCACATCCCAGGTGAGTGTCCTAAGCACTGGGCTAAAGTTTATAAGGGAGGATGTTAACTCCTCCTCCACCCAGCTCTTTGGTGTGGAGAGAGCCCGATTCAGAGCACAGCTACTGGATCAGGCTTTGCAGGTGAGATGGGCAGGAGACCATCTATCTTTGCCTAGCTTGAGGCATGAGATAAGCCAGGGTGCCTGCCTGTGGCAGAAGATTAGGCATATAGTGAGTTTTTTACTGTGGAAATGTAGGCAGTGAGCTTTGGCTCCAACTGAGTGAGGGTTCTGTGGATTGCAGTGGTGCCTTAATCTTGAAATCAATGGAAGTTAGGAGCCTAAATACCTCTGAGGACCTGGGCCCAGATTCCTACTGACCTGAAGTTGTATTTAAATCAGTGATCAAATGGACTCCAATCCCATAAACCAGTCAGTCCCCCCACCTCCCCCATATATATCTTCTTTCAGTTCAAAGATAGAGACTTTGCTTTTGATGGACTGAACCAAAACTACTAAGGGTGTTTCTTCCAATGCAACTTGTCTTAAACACTTTTTTGTGTATTGGTGAAGATTTTTCATTACCAAGAGATCCATGGGGATGGTGGAAAAACTATAACTGAAAATAACAACATAGTTAATGTAAAAACCTCTCTATCTCTCAGAAGGAGAATAATTAAAGATAACCACAGGATTTCTGAGTATAATTAATTTAGTAAACAGAGTAGCAATGAGGAAGGAGACATACAAATTAAAAAATGAATTTATGATGAAGAAACAATATGTAATCTTCCCTGAATGTGCATTAGATACATTTGACAACTACTAAATCACACACAGAATTGAAATTAATTCATTAAGACATTTTACTGCTGACAGCATGCCTGTGGGAATATGGATTAATAATACAAATGGAGACCAATTAAAAATTACCCCCTGCAATCAGAACTAGGGTAGAATGAAAAGAAGTAGTGAAAAATAAGAAAAGACAAATTTAAGTTGTCATTATTAAAAATTGCCAATTGTCTCTCTGATAAATCCTTAAAGGATAATTGTAAGAAGGAATCTCTAAGTATCTGGATATGTCTGAATCACCCAGCTAGTTCAGAAGGTTTAACTTCAGCATTTGCTTTTATCCATTTCTGCCTTTCATTTGCCCCATTTCCAGTTTGTAATTCATGTTAGTGTCAATATGAACAGGATCCTATTGGAAGCACAATAGCTACCAGATTAAAAATTGATCTAGAGAGAGGTCTAAACATGTGAAGTTGATATGAGTGTCTACACAGTGGACTGTTCGATGAATTAAAAAAAAATCAAAACAAAATATTAAAGCTGAACATGTCCCATGAGAGAGAGCTATAAACCAGAGAAATGGGATAGGGATGAGGAAGAGAGAGGGAGGATGTGGAGAAGTGGCAGACCCTTAGCATTTTTGCCTGCTCCTTCAACCAAATAGTAACTAATTACTGACCCCCATTTCCACATCACTTTACATAGGGTTGGCATAAAGACTTTAGGGAAGGTTAGCAAAATGCACCCAATAATTGACTAATTTAACTTAATTTGTGTATCGTTAGACTCTTCTCTACCCCACACATTCTGCTTGTTCCTTTTAACATTAGCAACTTGTTTACATTGAAAAAAGGGCTAAAAAATTTCTTTAAAAATGAAAGCAGAGATTCTCCTTTACATTTCCAGTTCCTCCTTATCATGAGACCTGCAGCCATCAACGTTACAGGGCCAAGAGGCTATTCCTGGGAGGTGGGAAAAGGAGGATGAATTTAAGGTAAAATTGACCTAGAGGAATCTATTCTTTGTTCTGTTATTTGTTGTTTGTTTCAGGATTTTAAAATGGAAATCCAAACTGTTGAATTAAATAGACATAACAGGAGTTATCCTCCATTAATACAGAATATCTCAAACCACATTATGTGAAGTCCCATCCCCTAAAAAGGAACTGGCAATTCTTTCTGGAAATAATATAGATTTATATCCCAGTTACCCATAGGTTCAGTAATTTAAAATATCATTTACTTTTTAATTTTATTATAATGATAGCTCCAGTTGCAGGTAATATTCCAGAAAAATATCAGAGGAGGACTTGATGAAAAGAAGTGCTGTGTACAGGGTTTCTGCTGTGGACTGTACACACACCTGAGATGAGATTAGCTTGATTAGATAAACTCAGTTTCTTAACAAAATACAATTAAAAGTTGTTACAGTGCCTATAACGAACACTATTTGATTTTTTAAAACTGTTGACTCAATCCCAAATAATAACTGGTATGGCAGAAATCACTAAACCTCAGTTACCAACTATTTCCACACACACTGTCTGAGATTACCACAGTTTTCACTACACTTAATGAAGGAAGTTATGGTAACTGTGAAGTAAGTGTTTGCAAAAGCTAACTCTTTAATGGCAACTACTACAGTTACATTAGAGAGGAAGGATGATATAGTGGTTAGGGATACAGCCTACAATTGGGGAGACCTAGGTTCTGCCACTGATTTCCTGTGTGACTTTGTGTAAGTGTCTGTGTCTCTATTCCCTTTTGGTAAAGGGGGATAACGACACTACCTACTTTACAGGAGTGTTGTGAAGATGGATAAATTAAAGACTGAGGTATTCAGGTATAGTGATAGGAGGTATAAAAGTAGTTAAGATATCTAGGTAATAGAATTCACTTATGTACATACTGATGTTCTAGTGATTTCAATTAAATGGAAGTAGAACAACAGAAGTTGGAAGGTGAGATGAGCTATGGCTTATTTTTGTGTTATAAATCAAAATGAATAAACTACAACTCTTTCTTTACCTTTGTTTAAAGACATAATAATCCAGACAAAATCATCAGCCCACTCCCTGCAAACCAGAAAATAACCAACTAAACATGAACATGAAGTTCAAAAAGTTCTCCCCTCTACCCATAAATACCAGCTCTCCTTCTGACCCTCCATCCCTTCATTATCTCAGAAAACAGGCGGGCTTTATAAAAATCAACAAACTTGGGCAATTTTGGATCAGGGAGGGAATCAATTCAATAGTTAAGGTCTGTTTATGGAGAACACCCTCCCAGCTGAGAAGCTCCACTGTAAGTATCAAGACACTTCTCAAGGAGAATCTCTTTTCTCAGGGTTGTGGTGAGCTGGTAGATTGAGGGGGACTGGGTGATCCAGAGTTCAGGGAAATTGGATTTAACTCAAGCTATTGGCCTAATTTTTATTATGACTGAGGAAAATCTGGTCAGTTTAATCACAGGATTTTTCATTAGTTGTGTATTTTTTGTATATAATAAGAAAATCTGACGCTTGCATTGCCCTTTGTATCTTTGTAGAGTTCAATGCACTTCACAAAGAAAGTCAGTATCATTATCCCCATTTTACAGATGGGGAAACTGAGGCACAGACTGACAACATGGCTTGCCCAAAGGCACCCAGCAGATCAGTTATAGGGCTGGGCATAGAATCCAGGTCACCGCTCTAGCCACTAGGCAATATTGCCTCCTTTGACATGTATAAGAGATGCTAATGTTCATGGTAGGTGCTTTTAATAAATTTAAATAGAATATTTAAAAAATAGAATCTGATCAGAAGACAAAAGCTACCCAAGCTTCTGTCCTCTCATATTTGAAAAGCATATGTGTGTTTGTGTGTGTGTGTATTTCAGTATAAAATTGGTGATGGTGTATTATCACAAAAATTGTACCACATCACTTCTGGATGTGAGCAGATCTGATCTCATACAAGTTTTGAAGCATCTTACAAACATTATTTACATATCACCATATCTCTATCAGCTAACTTATTTCCTATGTACCAGTGGGTACTCAGTGGCACAGAGAATTTAAGTAAAATGCCTAAAGTCACACATTGTAATCAGGAGAACAAACTATATTTGAGAAACTGGGGTGAGGGGAAGATAGAGGTATTTCTAAAGAATGTATGTAAGATCAGTAGAGGAACATGGAAAGTTTCTTCTCCCACAGTTCACTCACTACCTCGTTTCCTTCTTAGTTCTTTATGTCTAAACAGATGTTTAACTTCCACTGTCACATAAATGATAAATGACAGTCTAAAACCTGCAGAGGTATTGATAGTCATATAAATGAAGTAGTTGTCTGTCAATCAGGTGGCGATACAGCTTCATGCCAGAGATTGGGTTCCAGAAAATGACCTGATGAAAAGGCCAACAGCAATAAGTACAGGAGAGTTATAAATGTGGACATATGCAAAACGATGTCATCATACCCTGCCATACATTTCCCTGTAAGCCTCTGCAATCATAAGTCTTTGTGCATTGCAACGCTGTGTTAGAATATCAATCACCATGTCCTTTTCACAACCTGGAAAGGAAACAAGACCAAATGCTTAAATTAAACTTTTACTTATATTTATCATTGTTTGGTGAGTGTAAGTAAGATACCATGTTTTGTTCAAATGCATTAAACACATTTCTTGCAGAAAAAACTCAACGGATTAATATCAGATTGGTATTTACAAACATCAAAAATATTTATCATGCTTATGTACCTTTCACTTGCTGGTGTACTACTGACAAATAGTCAAGAAATCTGTATTATCATCAGATGCATTACCATACGCTCAAGGGGAATGGACTTGAAAACATCAGTAAAATTGGATTAAAGCTTTCATCAAATAAGAACTAGGCATTCAGGTAGAATTTATAGCTAGGACTGGAAGGTTGAGTTTGGATGTGACAATGCTCATTAAATTGTCATTTTCGAGTTATTGATTTCCAGTAATGGAATGGCCATTCACAGAGGGACCATTGGTTGTAAAATTGCTGAATAAGGTGCTCAGTTAGATGGTGTAAAATAAAATGTTGAAGGATTATTTATTAATACTGGTTTCTGAATGATGCATTAGGACCAAGGGTTACTTTGTGGAAGAACGTTATCTATGATCATTAGTTTGTAACTGGTGATTAGAGCTACCTGCTAAATTTATGCAATCAGTGTATGACTGCTAAAACTCAAAAGAAGATAGAAAATAATTCACAATTAATTCACTTATTTTGCTTTTACCTCCCAAAAGAGAACTCCTGATGATTTGATATGACTTGGTTTTTTAATGACATTTCCAGACAAATTCTTTCCTGGTGGAGCTCAATTGATTTTAGTGGAGATAGGCCAAATTCATCTGTTGTTTCTTATATTTATATAAGACCTGCAGGAACTGTTGCTGCTGAAAACATGAAAAAATGTTTTTTCCTGTGTAAAAAGAAACACAATACTATGTTCTTGTTTCTTCTTTTTACATGGGAAAAATTATTGTTTTAAGCAGCAGTTATTAAACCAAACCTTTACTATTAATAATCTTGTCTGTGGTGTGGGGTCAGACACTGAGTGGGAGCATAAATAGTTTGGGAATTACTGAAGGTCATTTCAGAGAGGCTACATTGCAGAACCATTTCAACAGAAATCACAGATTATCTGCTGTGGAGCAAAATGTTTCTCCTGATTTGCATTGTAGACTTAGTCTTAGGATTTTAATTGCATCCATTTATGGAATGTGATGTTTTCAATGCTGATGATGCTTGATCAAGCCTCACAACTTTTAACTGAGCACTGAAATGAGTCTGACACAGCAATGAAAGAGAAGCCTTGGAAAATGAATAGAACATCCATTTGAAAAGCTTATGAATACAATAGTGGCACACTTTTGTGTATCGACCGACTTCTCTGCTGCACCCAGAATCTGCTAGGCATAACAGAAAAGAGTCATTTGTAACTCCCTGATCGTGAGGCTGGTGCTACACTGATCCCAGTCCCAGAATTCTTCTGAGCCAACTTAAGGCCCTATTAAGAAAAACACCTATTAGATGTTTAATTTTCAGACATTGTGTCCTGTTAACTTCACTAGGACTACTCATGTGCCTAATGGTAAGCACATGTTTCAATACTTTGCTAAACTGATGTCTTAAATTCCACTGGCTAGTAAAGGCTTCCCTGCACAGGAGTGCTGTGCCACCTAGGGATTGGTGGATTACAGTAACCATCCAGCCAGGCATCCTCCTGGCCAGGCTGGGAAAGGAATATCATACACAAATTCCTCACCAGCTGAGGACTCCCCACATGTGGAAAGTCCAATTTATGGGGCCAGGATGTATCAGGAATAATTCCAGGGCAGCCAATGGAATTATATAAGAAAAAAATGTGAGAACTGGGGACATATGTAGCTCTTGCCCAATGTTTCTCGGTTACTCTTCAGTCACTTTGAGCAATATTTTCATTAATATGTAGTCAGTATGACTGCTAAAACTCAAAAGAAGGTAAAAAATAATTCACAATTAATTCACTTATTTTGCTTTTATCTCCCAAAAGAGAACTCTTGATGATTTGATATGACTTGGCTTTTTAGTGACATTCCAAGGACAAAATCATGTCGTCTCTTACTGGAAAAGTGGATGATTCAACAGGTTATAAAAGAGTTGTGCTTCAAAGATACAAAAGGGGTAGAATTCCAAGGAAGGTGGCAGTGACTTGCACAAAGCTGAGGTTTTAATACTCTTATATTGATGGGCCAGCCATCCTTATCTTTATATCAAAAAGCAGCAACACCCTGAAAAGAATAATTAAAAGAACCAGCCAATCAAAATACAAGTTATGTAAAGGTCTTTACAAGCTAAACTGCACTTTTAAATTACATTGACTCAAGGCTGTTCCAGGAGAACAGACAACTGCTTAATAAACCCTTTGCATGACCAATAGGTTACAAATGGTACTCACAGAATGTGATTCTGTGATCTTTGTCAGATTTTTGTGTAACAGACATGACAATATCTAGGACAAACCTTAAGTTAAAGTCTCTTAGGCCATTGTATTAAACATGCAAATGTTTATGTATTATTGTGGGATGGCATGTAACTTTTTAAAGGGGAGGCAGGACTAACATAAATACTATGAAGTGTTATGTGCTTCAAAGGACTCTTAAAACAATTGACCAGACAAGACTGAACTTTTGGTTGAGTGGGGTTCCTAGGAAATACTTGGGAAGAGCGGAATGCAAATTATTCACCCTAGGAGCTATTTTTTTTTAAACTGTGCCTTAAAGATAAGCCTATTGTCTGGCAGATTACCTATTCATGGTCTCTTCAAAGGCCCAAATTATCTAAAGGAGGGAATCTAATTCATGGGGAGCTAGTTCTAAGTGAAAGCTGCTCACCAGAGGAAAACCCTGTCTGGAGGGTTTGAAGAACTAATTAGAGGGGGTGATCTCTGACAGGCTTATTAGTATTCATATAAGCTCTTAGCTTTAATGTTTTCTCCGTAATGCTTTCACCTTAAGAATAAAAGGGTTTGCTTAGAAAAAAATGAGGTAACTTCTAACTACCAGCAATTACAGTGTTATTAGTCTTTGAAGAGCAAATAAAGTAGAGAGGCTGGCCATTTAGGTAGCCTGGCTTCCTGGGGGATAGTACAGTAGAGGCAGAGAACTTTTCAGCCCAGAAATACCCCAGTCAGAAGGGAGAGGTGCATGTATCCATCCAAGAGTGATGACAACAGAGGAACCAAGAGTGGATGTCCTTGCTGGACGATGGGGGAATATAGGTGCAGTTACCCTGAACTGTGACATGTACTGTACCTGCTAAATGTTAGGGATGCAGCAGATCAGACTGCTTTTCAATTATTTTTATTTAATATTTGTACTGTGGTAGCAACCAGAAGGCCCAATCAGGATTGTGTCCTAGTGTTCTATATGCTGTACATACACATAACACATGGTCCCTGCCCTGAAGACTTTACAATCTAATTTAAGATAAAAGTGAATGTAACAAATGAGATGGAAGTAGAAGAGAAAACTTGGGTAACAGCGATATGAAAATGTGTATAATAGGCTGTGCTTAAAGTGATGGTTCCCAATCACAAGGTTATTTTCAATAACTGTGAGTCTCCCAGTGGTCCTTGACTAAGGTATGGTCAGTTGACAGGTTCTGTGGGCATGACACTAGAAACAAGTCAATGGGGGACTGGAAGGAACAGTGATAGCTTTACAAAGAGCTGATTTAAAAGTTACATGATTTTTTCACCAAAAGATTTTACTTAAAAAAAAAATCCTAAATTTTTCATTTCTTGAAATTCATGAAAAAATCCATCCAGCCTGTAGCTCATCAAAAAGTATGACCAACTTAAATGAAAAAACTTAAAATATTTCAGGATATCTTTAGTTGAAAATGGAATCTGATGAAAAATGTAATTGAAAACTCAATATCTACCAATGCTATTTGCAGACTATTTTAGGGAGATCGTACCGTTCATTTAGAAACACAAATGGATAAAGGTGGCTAGGTGTCTGGTAAGTTTTTATTTCCATCTATTTTTAAAAAGAAAAGGAATACTTGTGACACCTTAGAGACTAATCAATTTATTTGAGCATAAGCTTTCGTGAGCTACAGCTCACTTCATTGGATGCATACTGTGGAAAGTACAGAAGATCTTTTTATACACACAAACCATGAAAAAATGGGTGTTTACCACTACAAAAGGTTTTCTCTCCCCCCCCCCACCCCACTCTCCTGCTGGTAATAGCTTATCTAAAGTGATCACTCTCCTTACAATGTTCAGAGGAACAGCCGTGTTAGTCTGTATTCGCAAAAAGAAAAGGAGTACTTGTGGCACCTTAGAGACTAACCAATTTATTTGAGCATGAGCTTTCGTGAAAGCTCATGCTCAAATAAATTGGTTAGTCTCTAAGGTGCCACAAGTACTCCTTTTCTCCTTACAATGTGTATGATAATCAAGGTGGGCCATTTCCAGCACAAATCCAGGGTTTAACAAGAACATCTGGGGGGGGGGGGGTAGGAAAAAACAAGGGGAAATAGGTTACCTTGCATAATGACTTAGCCACTCCCAGTCTCTATTCAAGCCTAAGTTAATTGGCAAACACCTAGAAGATCTCTATCAAGCATTCTTACAACTACAATACCCATCTGCAGAAGTGAAGAAACAGATTGATAGAGCCAGAAGAGTTCCCAGAAGTCACCTACTACAGGACAGACCTAACAAAGAAAATAACAGAACGCCACTAGCCGTCACCTTCAGCCCCCAACTAAACCCCCCCCAACACATTATTAAGGATCTACAACCTATCCTGAAGGATGACCCAACACTCTCACAAATCTTGGGAGACAGGCCAGTCCTTGCCTACAGACAGCCCCCCAACCTGAAGGAAATATTCACCAGCAACCACATACCACACAACAGAACCATTAACCCAGGAACCTATCCTTGCAACAAAGCCTGTTCCCGACTGTGTCCACATATCTATTCAGGAGACACCATCACAGGGCCTAATAACATCAGCCACACTACCAGAGGCTCGTTCACCTGCACATCCACCAATGTGATATATGCCATCACGTGCCAGCAATGCCCCTCTGCCATGTACATTGGTCAAACTGGACAGTCTCTACGTAAAAGAATAAATGGACACAAATCAGATGTCAAGAATTATAACATTCATAAACCAGTCGGAGAACACTTCAATCTCTCTGGTCACGCGATTACAGACATGAAAGTTGCGATATTACAACAAAAAAACTTCAAAACCAGACTCCAGCGAGAGACTGTTGAATTGGAATTCATTTGCAAATTGGATACAATTAACTTAGGCTTGAATAGAGACTGGGAGTGGCTAAGTCATTATGCAAGGTAACCTATTTCCCCTTGTTTTTTCCTACCCCCCCCCAGACGTTCTTGTTAAACCCTGGATTTGTGCTGGAAATGGCCCAATATTATCATACACATTGTAAAGGAGAGTGATCACTTTAGATAAGCTATTACCAGCAGGAGAGTGGGGTGGGGGGAGGGAAAACCTTTTGTAGTAGTAGACACCCATTTTTTCATGGTTTGTGTGTATAAAAAGATCTTCTGTACTTTCCACAGTATGCATCCAATGAAGTGAGCTGTAGCTCACAAAAGCTCATGCTCAAATAAATTGGTAAATTGGTCTCTAAGGTGCCACAAGTACTCCTTTTCTTTTTGCGAATACAGACTAACACGGCTGTTACTCTGAAATCTATTTTTAACACTTTCACTGAATCTGCGAGGGATGAAATATGAGTGTCCGCTACAATGTACCTTAGTTTTGTTACACATGATCGGACTGCTGATCATCTTCTGTGCACTTACATGAACTAGTGGTTGTTTCTTCAATAAAATTTCAGAGCATTAAAAATGGGCAAATGAGATTAGTTTGCCAAATGTAGTTTCACATTAGTAACATTAAATCCATATTAGTAACATTATCATTCAGTGTTTTCATTAATCAATTACCAGCTTTATATAACCCTTCCATAAATACTACTTTATGTAACTGACATGACGATTTTCTATATCAGCAAGTCCATTAATGAAATTGTTTTAATCGTCATGTTGCATCTGACTTGGAAAAATGGTTGATTAATAACTAGCTTCTCAAATGTCAAATAACAAAGTGTTTAAGTGAAAGTTACAGGTAACCCACAGAAGTTTTGGAATGGAAACTTTAGTGATGGGTAGCATGGTGTTAGAGGAGGATAGTCTTTAAGGTTCTTTAGCATTATTCTGAATGAATTCTTGATTTTTTGGGATTATGCAGATTTTATTGTATGAATTTTAACTCATAGGTTCTATTTTGACAAATTTGATATTAGCTGCAAGAACTATGGCCTGTATTATGTTGCCAAGTGCTGATCAGGGTAATAAAACATTCTACAGTATAACTACAAATTCTGAATAGAATGTCATCAGTCTGTAATACAGTAAATTAAGTCTTGTTTAATTGGCAGAGCATCATTTCCTCACCACATGGCAGGCTGTTGGCTCTCATGAATGACATGGATGCCATTTTATTTCTCATCTGGAGTCCGATCACATGCACACTGAAGTCAATAGCAAAGGTCCCATTCCGTTCAATGATGTAGCCTCAGATTCAAGAAGTGTGCAGTTTCAAATCCAGTATATTATTTTTACTTTTCAGAGAATAGTTACTTCAGGAGGTTTGTTTATAATGAAAAATGGTTTGTCCATCCTTGAAGTTAGTGCTCAGCACAGCAATTGTTTATTTCCATAAGTAACATTACTCATGTGAATACTCCCATTGTGCTCAGTGGGACTACAAATGTGAGTAATTTTACTTACATGCATAATTGTTAGCTAGACTGGGGCAACAGACTGCCAGCTCTCAGGGCAAAGGCTGTGGGGAGTAAATGGACATAGCTTCATTGAAGTCAAATTGCTTTAATTTTGTAGATAAATAGTCATGCATGAAAACAGAAGTTTGTTCCCATGTTTTTACATGATTAAGTTTAAAGTATATTAAAATGTGTTATTGCAATTTGTATTTAATAGGTGATGGACAGAATATTGTCTATTTTAATCCCAGTGAAAATATGACTCATTAAAAGTTCTTGCTTTAAAAATAGTAAAATATGAGAAACCATAACATGTAACAGCGTAATCAATCAAAAAGAAGAGGCAGATTGTACTTAATAATACTCGTTTTTGGTATTTCCTGGGACAAAGTATACATAGCTAAATGGAGGCACATACGCTCCACTGAAGAGAATGGCTGGACAGAATGCCAGATTTGGTGTTTTAAGTAGGGCTGTCATTTAATCACAGTTAACTCAAGCGATTAACGCAAAACAAATTTAAAAGGGCCTAGCCAGTGTAAAGGGGCTGAAGGGGAAACGGCCCAGGGAGAGAGACGGACAAAGGGAGAGAAGGAGGGCAGGCAGGAAGGCTGCCGTCAAAGGGTCTTGGGTCGGAAACCAGAGTAGAGGGCAGGCCTGGGTCCCTCCCTTCCCCCTTGCACTTCTACCTGGCCGTTAGGAGTGGTCATCATGGACTGCACCAGACCCCTGCCAAAAGGGGTTAGCCTTTGGGGGTGTTGTTGGCCATTGTGGCTGGGGCGAAGAGAAGGACTGCTGATAACACCAAACCCCCGGAAGGGGGTGAGACCAGAGCAGTGGGCACTGCCGGAGAGCAGTGTCCTGAAGAGGATGACTCAAGCTGAGAGCAACGCGGGTCGAGACGCCAATCTAGGGCAAGAGACAGACGGGACAGCACCGGCAGAGGACGCTCCACATGAACTGAGCTAATTCTCAGAATGAACAGCAGGAGGCGCTGTGGTGGTGAGTCCGGACCCCGTCACAGCAATAAAGAAATTGTACTACAGTGCTTGTATGAGACGAATTGAAAAATACAATTTCTTTTGTTTATCTATTTTACAGTGCAAATATTAGTAATAAAAATAATATAAAGTGAGCACTGTACACTTTGTATTCTGTGTTGTAGTTGAAATCAATATATTTGAAAACATAGAAAACATCCAAAATATTTAAATAAATGATAGCCTATTATTAACAGTACAATTAAAACTGCAATTAATTGTGATTTTTTTTAATCTCTCAATTAATCGTGATTAGTTTTTTAATTGTTTGACAGCCATAGTTTTAATACTTGTAAAAAGCCTAGCAGGATGAATTTGAAAGTTTCCTATGCAGACAGCTATCCTGATTAGGAAAATGTCTCAGTCAAAGATTCAGTATTCTGATCCCCAGAAATATCAACAAAACCCAAAACAAAAACCTGAAGAGAGAAAAATGCTTTGGTGAACTGCATTTTTGTCTGGTTTTTGCTTTCAGTCCATAGATTAGCAATTCCTCAAGAGGAATCAATAAGGTAATCTTGTATGGTTTTTTCAGCAATGATTGATATTTTAAAAGCCAATATCCTTTGAGAATAGCTAATTTTAGATGTCATAATTAAGAGACTTTTCTTTTGTCTCAAGAGTGCTGGTGAAATAAAAGATAACCTTTAGGAAAAGGCAGCTTAGTACAAAAACCCCAAAAGCTTTGAATAAATTGTCATAGGCTTGTGTCTACCCTGAACATCTTCTAATTCCTTCCAATGCAATTGCACAGTTTCTTTTAATGTCAGTGATATATGATTTTTAGTTAAAAATCAATTTAAAAAATCATTGCTTATCTCTTTCCATTCTTGATGCCTGTTTCTACGATTGTTCTTGTTCTAAAGGTGTTTCCAAGGATGGGCTGAAAGAAGAGATGGCTTGGAATTGTCAGTCAGGATACACACCTATTCCCTGTAGGGCTCCCCCAAGCATCTGGGCATCTATAACTGGATTGAAATTTGGAGCTGGGAAGATTGTTCCTTGTATCTGCTAAGGGGGAAAAGAGATAGTTAGTGTTATTTGTAACTGATCATTAATTATATACAAGGTGTCATCAGCAGAATTATGAATGAACCACAAGATTTTGGAACCCTTGTTCTTATGAATAGTCCTTCCTTTAATGAGTAAAGCACTGATGCCCTCTGGAACCTATGTTTGTAATGAGTAAAGGTTGCAAGATCAGGCATCAAACCTGTTTTTTGGAACCCATTGACACTCAAAACACATACTTTAGTTTCTATGAGGTTACTAAGCAATATTCCACAAGTGACCAGTAAATAATATGATATTAATCATTGCATTCCAACCTGATTAAAGGGACACAGTCAACTTGATGATCACATTTCCACTGAAAATTGGGTTGAAAATTACCTATTATTGCAAATAGCTCTTACAGTTACTATAACACCTGAGATTAGAGAAAAGATATTTGTTTACTTTAAGTGCACAACACGCAGGTGTACAAAGAGAAAAAGGGGACAAAGGATGTTCAGACATGTTTGATGTTGGTCTCAGGCCCACCTCAAAAACATGAAGGGAAACACCTTTAGTAATTAAAAAAAAATAGAATATTGTCTGAAGGATGCTCAAACTGAAAGCAATGCTTTAAGTTAGCCACTTTCAAAAAATTCAAGCTGAGGAAAAATGAAACAAAACAGCGCCATTCAAATATAGTCGTGAGGATTATAAAGGAATAGGATGCCCCGCACAGAATTCAAATAAAGATCTTCCTCTGTTTAACACAGAGTTCTAGGGTTTTGAAATTGCCTTTGGCAGTAGGAGAAAGTAAAAACACGACTGACATTCAGTTAAAATGCTCTCTGTCCAGCTTTAAAATGGTAAAACATCTGGAGCAGATTTGACATACATGGTCCACTGTTTAAGAAATAGTTGGCAACTAAAGCAGCATCTTACAGTCATACTTAGCACAAGAAAGCCATTTTAGTTTAATTTTCTTAAGATCAAGCAGATGTTTTATTGCTTAAAAAAGCCACCAAAATATGGACATACCAGAAAAAATCATTTCAGAAGTGGAAATTTTAATTAATTCTAGTCTGTTAAATTTAACAGAGCTGTTGAATCTAGCACTCACAATAGATCAGTAACCTAAGGCATGCACATGGAATTTGTTTTTAAGATTGAGTGGAAAAGATGTTTTCATAAGACTGATGTGGCTTATGGATATCTCGAGATGGATGTGAAAGATCAATGGAAACAATCTAAATCTAATTTGTCTAGGTATTTCCATAGTGTCCAGTACAAAGAAAACTTTGCAGAGATTCTTTGATGTATTGTTATATAGACATCATTTATATTATAGGCAGATGCGATAGAAAATAATTACAAAATCGCATGAAACTGCTACTCCTACTTTATTCTGAAGTTATTTTTCTCAGCCTAATTCTCCAGCCTCTAAGGGAAAAGAGGTTATCCTGCAGAGATTCAGTTAGAATGAATATACTTGTCCTGGCATATAAAATGGTTGTTTCTATTTACCCTCGAAGAAAGGTTGTAATTCAGAGGTGAAAGATTATGGTATTAATATTCTTTCACTACACACGCCCACCTCTGAATCTCAACTCTCCCAGGGTAAATAGAAACAACCATTTCATATGCCATACAGAGGTCATATGACTAATATCAATGAAGTATCACAGGCGTGGTCCTTTCTAAGTATTATCATCTCGGATGTGAAGTCAAAAGTGGAGGAATTGGAAGAACAGTAACAAACACGGAAGGATTAGAGGGAATGATTTATGAGGAAAGATTAAAATAACTAAGGTCCTGATGCTCTCACTGGATTTTCATGACTAATTCCTGTACCTGTATGGAACAGCATTGACCTTCATAGGGCTTCATATGGACACAATAGTTCATGTGAATCCAGCTGCAGGATTGAGGCTTAAACATAGTCACTGTTTAGCCAAGCTATACAAAGTGAAACAATTGTCAGCAAAAATGTGAAAGGTGTGATTAAATAGGGAGGAATTGTTTGGCATGATGCAAAATATGATAGCTAGTAGTAATGGAATTAAATTAAGAAAAAGGAAAGATTCCTGACAAACATCTTTTTAGGTCAATCAGTAGTCTCCCAAATGGTGGAAACCCTTTAGCAGAGACATTTAAAAGTAGACTGAACACAGTGAGAGAATAGATTGTAGGGAACAATTTCTTAGTGGACAGAAGGATGATGTCCAGAAGGTCTTCTCCATCTCTATTTGCTATGACCCATGTCCTCATGTCTGCCACAGAGCTTCAAGTGAGCCAACCAAAAGCTGTGGCAGACATGAAGCTATGGGTCTTAGTGATTAGAGATGGATAAGACCTACTGGACACTTAGAACCATCCTTCTCTCCACAATCTATTTTCTCACTGTGTCCAGTCTACTTTTAAATGTCTCTAGCAATGGATTTCCACCATTTGGGAGACTATTAATTTTTTTACAAATAACTTTTTCCAAAAGATATAACCTGCCAATCAGAACCGAGATGTAGTGAGCATCAATGATTTGTGCTCACAAGTACATGTTCATGAAACTCCCAAAGCAAAATGGATTTAAGTCCCTTCTGTAGAAAAGAAACAATTACTAGCATATGGCTTAGGGGTGATCATGAGCACAGAGATGGAGAGTGCATAAAGCATATGCGCTCTTGTCCAGAAAAGCACCGGAAAATATTAATTATGGATCTTTGACAACAGGCCTGATCCTTGCATATGCTAAATGTCCTCAATTGGCCTCTTAAGAGGCACTGCTCAGCTAAGTATACCAGGCCCAATGTTAGTAAGGAAAATCCAAGCCAATAAACACCCAAACTACATTACCATAAAAATCAAAGGAACGATAATTTTAAATAGAATAGAATTACATATGTAACTTCAAGGTAACTCCTTCTAGAAAACACAGCACAAGAAAAACATTTTTAATAAAAATCCTAGAACAAAATTTGAGCAAACAGCTCTTTCCAAAATATTAAATTACCTCACACAGTACTTACCTTTCACCTTGGCTTCTATCTCACACAAATCGTAGAATCATAGAATATTAGGGTTGGAAGAGACCTCAGGAGGTCATGTAGTCCAATCCCCTGCTCAAAGCAGGACCAACACCAACTAAATCATCCCAGCTAGGGCTTTGTCAAGCCTGGCCTTAAAAACCTCTAAGGATGGAGATTCTACCACCTCCTTAGGTAACCCATTCCAGTGCTTCAACACCCTCCTAGTGAAATAGTGTTTCCAAATATCCAACCTAGACCTCCCCACTGCAACTAGAGACCATTGCTTCTTGTTCTGTCATCTGCCACCGCTGAGAACAGCCAAGCTCCATCCTCTTTGGAACCCTCCTTCAGGTAGTTGAAGGCTGCTATCAAATCCCGCCTCACTCTTCTCTTTTGCAGACTAAAAAACCTCAGTTCCCTCAGCCTCTCCTCTTAAGTCATGTGCCCCAGCCCCCTATTAATTTTTGTTGCCCTCCACTGGACTATCTCAAATTTGTCCACATTCTTTGTCCACAAAGGTTTGTGTCAGAGTCCACTTGCTGATTAGCTGGTCATTGTAGCTCTCATTTAACTTTGACTGGTTTCTCAGCAGACCCAGAATTCCACCAAAATACAGTAAGTCACTGACCTGAACTTTGTGTTGCTACATATAATATTAAGGTCTCCATTAAAAACCCTGAAATACTAACAACTCAGTGGCTGGCTTTTATCTCAGAGCTAGTATTATGAAAATAAATTAAAAAAACCCCAAAGAACTGTGCTTCTTTAAGAAAGTGCCCTTCTTATTTGTAAGATGTGTATCCCCGTCCTTATAATTTGAAGCTTTGAATGTCAATTTTCTGGCAGGAACACTTTCATTACTTTATTTTCTGAAAGCCATCCTGAAGCACTTTTTGTAAGTTGGATCATTTGATACATCTAGTTTGAAATCTTTGGGGCTCCAGCATGTACTAAACTTCATTGCATTTGTTTTTTCCCCAAATCTTCATAAAATTCTGATATAGGTCTGAGCCAAATGCTGTATCTGAACTTTGGACAAGTTCAGGCCTGACTCTAATGTAGTAACTATATAATAATTCCTCATTGTCTTCTGTATGTTACATTTACAAACCTTTTAGACAGGACCAAAGGATTCCAAAGAGCTTTACAATATTCACTGAAAGTTAGTCAAAGAAGAGGGATGACAACCACATTGTGGTGGACACTGGTGATTTCAAAGGACCTGACCCTCAACTGGTGTAAATGAATAACTGAACTAAATCCTGCCTCGGAAGTCAATGGAGCTATGCTGATTTATACTAGCTGAAGATCTGACTCTCTGTATTCTGTGGCATGTGGCAGCTTCATACTGCACCATCTTGTGGCGACATGATGGTGCATGGAGAGAAACTGGGGAAAAAGGTATTTGGAAAGGAATTCAGATCTCCATGAGTCACTATATGTTAGTGCTAGGTCATGCCTGGCCCTTGTGCAGGTGCATTTGGTGGGGAAAGAAGGAAGATTGTGGAAGGAGCTTTCACTTCTGCTTGTGGCACAATTGCAGCACTTGTTCTTGGGAAAGTGCAGAGACTACTCCCAACTAATGCCAGGGGAGCAAGCCACCCAGAAGAGAAGTAGAGGACACACCCCTACCCTTTGTGCACTTCATTTTCCTTACGCACTGAGGCAGAGGCCAGCCACAATCTGTTGCACAGTCATTTGAGAGACAGATTGGGGGTATGGCTGAGTTAAGTTAACTCCATTTTGTTATAAGAATGCAAATGTGTGATTGTAACCCACAGTTTGCATTGTAAGCATCTTTGGAAAACCAGACTAATCTTGAGAAGGGCAATCTATTCTAGACAGTGTGTGCTCACATTAGGCAGTGGGACACCTTGGAGACGACTATCGATGAGAGAGCCATCAATGTTGAATGATTATTCCCTACTAGACTAAGGGGTTTTCTACTAACAGGGCCTTTGACTGGACTCTCTACACAGAAACCTTTCTGGGAAA